TGGGCATGCAAACGAGGGCGACGTGCTGGAGCCAGGGGTTCATATTATGATTGCAGGAGCACTTCGGGGAGAAGCAAAGCAGCCAGGAAGTTGGGGCAAAAGGAACAGCCAGGGATGGTGATCCTATCCTGCTGGGGCAGATACCTACCTAGAAAAGCAGTCCTTGTCGAGGCAGAGCTGTCTGGAGAAGTTGTGTGTCTGGAGCTGGGCAGAGACTGAAGGTCTGGTTCTGTGAGTGACTGAGGTGAGATCAGGAACTGGGGGTGGAGTGAAAGCAGTTATTTGTTCTGGCCCCTTCAGGGAACCAATAGCTGTGATCCAGATGGTCCTATCACCCCATGGCCCCCAAACTCCAGCTCAGCTCCAGAGGCTCCAGAATAGGAAGCTGAGAGCTCACATTCACCAACATTCCTAGATGGATTAGGCTTTCACTCTAAGTCACACTTGGCACTGTGTGCTAGAGGGAATTGGAAAGGAGGGGCCGAGAGAAGATAGGAAAGTTGCTTTTCTGACTCCTGCACAGAAATACTAATCCTCAAATATACCATTGTCCTTAGAACAAGGAAGGATAGGATTACAAAGACACTGAGGCTTAGATGACTCAAGTGATCTTTTCAAAACTACAAAGCTGATTCTTGTCAGAGGCTAGATTAGAACCCAGGTCTATTCATTCCATAACCATACACTTTCCATTTATACCACACTGTCTTTAGAGACTATCCTCTGGGGTACTTATTGGTATGGGGAAAAAAAGTACCAGAGGATGCCCTGTATTTAAATAGCCTAAGGTGATGACATAACATTTTTTGAACTTCTGCTACGTAACTCAACAGTATTCTATGTACTTTATGGACATTAATAATAATTATAATAAATAATAAAAATAATAAAGTAAGCAAAAAAGTAGCCATAGCTATCACTCTCAAAACACCGTGTCTCAGGTTATGTACTTTACATGAACACTCTCTAGGAAACTAAGATTTAGAGAAGTTAAATAACTTGCTTAATGTTACAAGGCATGATACAAAACATGAGAGAAAGAAACAGTACTATCTGCAGGTATTACAGGTTATTCACGAAGGGCCCCAACCTTGATACTCCCAGAACCAGGGAAGCAGAAGCAGAATGTTAATTGTAGCAATCATTCATGGAACAAAGTTTAGATTTCTACTGATCTAGACAGATAATTAATTACAGGCTATGTCTTCTATATTTGCCAACTAGGAGAAAGATAAGCCTGGCTTTCTTCCGCCTGTCTTACACTGTGTTTTCAGGCAGATGTTGCCGGGCTGGAATGATAATGGCCTCACATAGATGAAACCTGAACTCTGAATCTCCTGGGGCCAATGAAGAGAGGAAATCAGAGCTGGCAACTCTTGGCTCACATGTTCTACAAAGTCACAAACGTTGAGTCCCCAGAAAAATGTTCCCAGCAGTCCTCTGATTTAATCTAAGGATGCCCTGGGCCTTTGTACATTGCAACATCTCAAGTTTTATCATTTTTACTATGATAGAGATGACGGAAACTACTGGAATGTAGGAGGAGAGAAGGTGTCTGCTGTGTGCAAATAAGAATGTGTAGTGGTAAAGGATTAGCGATATAAATAGGCAAGTACTTATAAAGAGAGGTCCCAGTATAGACTGGAACACAGACATAGAGAACTGGAGACTCTCTACTGCTGGGGTAAACTGGCAGGGCTTTCTGATAGAATTCTATTTGCATGAGGTGTGGAGAGCCCTCCTAGATAGCTGAAGAGAGAGCCATCTAAACAAGACAAGAAAAAACCTGACCCAGTAACAAAGCCTTCATCAGACATGATTCTCAAAACAGGATGGTGGCTTTCTAAAAACTCTACACTGCCCTCAACCCTATGGACTTGTATCTCTCTGAGAGACTGAGAGCCAAAAGTAAGAGCTGAGTTGTTCCACACAGGACACAAGTGGCCGGCTGTGGAACCCCTTTTAAAATGTCTAAAACAAGGAATAGAATCTTTCTGCACCACCCTACTCCAATCCTCATTTCAGTCACAAACTGCACTGGATTCCTTTAACTCCTACGAAAGGCAAAGGGGCCACAGCAGGACCAACCGTCTCCAAAGGATTCTGTCCTTGTGCTTAGAATTCTTCAAGGTCTGCAGGGCTTTGGGAGCCCACGCTAAAATGCTCATTTTAATTTTAAACTTAATGCTAATTTTTTATTTTAGTGCACATTTTAATTTCTAAGTCTTTAATACTTAGTCCCTCCAGACGCGGTCTCCCCATCCGGGTCCCCGTACCGCACCTTTGGGTCAGGGTCACGGGCCACCCTGGGACAGCGCTCGCCTTCCCCTTACCTCCGTGGCTCAGCCAAAGCTAAGAAGATCCCCGTCGTTCTTCCCGAGATCAGTATCACTCCCTTTTTCTGGGAAGGCAAAGGAAATGAATGAGTTAGGGAAGCATCTACCCCCTCGCCTACCTCCTCGCCAGACTCCGGACGCCGCGTGGTCTCAGGACAGCGGTGAAGGTGACAGGGTGCTCAGGGCGTCCCCAGGCTCGTCTCCTCCCGCTGGGGTTTGCCCTATGCCCTCCACTCCTACATTATCCTTACTCTATTTCCTGGCTTCCCACCTTCCTTCCACACGCGAACAGTACTGCCACCTCGCCACCCGCATCTAAAATTTTCCCGGGCCCCCAAGCCGGCGACCGGCTCGCCCCGCCCCTCTTCCCCTCTTCCCCTCTTCCCTCTTTCCAGCTCTGAAGCGTTCTTGGGATCTTCTTTGTACTGGCCCACACCCGTCCGGCCCGCCCCCGTCCGGCCCACCTGCCGGCTCTCCACGTGTGGGTCT